TGCGTCACAATTCTTACATTCATGCTTGGTTAATTTTCCATCACATGCTCCCACTGACTTTTTCTAGTTCGTTACTGCCTCTACACAGCCTTAACCCCATGCCTTCCTCTATTCTGTTTAGCATGTGTTGTTTCCTGCATCACAGAACTTAAGACCACCCAGACACAGCTACTGTGATTTCTTCTGCCTCCATCACCTTCTCATCTTTACCTGTCATTTTTTCCCTACCTCTTGCTTTCAAAGGTGTCTGTGTCCCTCCCTTGTATTCTTCTTGTCCAAAGATATTCTTCTACCGTGCTTTCTCTCCCCATATTTTCTTGACTTCTCAAGGACCTTCATTTAACAATTGGGCACTCTCTTACCATACTATGTTTTTTAAAGTCTACCTCTCCATAACAACTTCACTTCTGCTATGAACAACTTTAGGTTTTCCCTGTTAAAAACAAAATGAAATGAAAATTAACAATAAAACTTTAGTCTGCTATCCTTTCACTGCTATGCTGTATTTCTCAAAAGTGGGGGGCGGCGGGGAGACAGAGAGATTATATCTCTTCAACTCATTTACTTCAGCACTAATTTCTCACCCACTGCCTAATACCTTTCTATATGGCTTCTGCCCAAAGTATTTCTAATATTTTCTTTAGCTTATTAAGGGGGTTCTAAGCATGTGTCAAACTTTTAGCTGTGATAGTTTTGAAAAAGATTTAACACCCAAATTAAACCAATACAAACACAGCAGTATCCCTAACCACTGTGCCTAAAGATTTTTTAGTTGGAGGAGGGTATGGAGAAAAGGGGAGGTAGGCAAGTGAAAGGATCACATTGGGAAGGTAGACCAAAAGAAAAGGGGCAAAACTGGCCTGGAATATGGGAGAGGAGAGTTGACTAGCCTGTATTTGAGATGCCCTCTGTAGATTACAGGAATGGCTGAAGGCGCTGAACAATCTTGTAAAGGTGCTTTGTCACCACAACTAGTCATGGTTGAGAGTATCTTATCTCCTCCCCAGTGTCACCACATTGCTCCAAATTCTTACCACCTAGATGATTGCAGTAGTTGCCCAAACAGGGTCCCTGCCTCCGGGTTCTTTCTCTCCCTCTCAATTCACCCTACATTCTTATGCTATTGTTGTCTAATTTTCTTTGTATATAGCAAGAACTAAGAAAATGGGAATGAATGAAATGATCAATGAATGAATGAATAAAAAACCCCAAAGCTACATAACCATTATGGTTCTTGCAAAGATGATTTTTTTTTTATTAATGAATAGTTTAAAAAAAATAAAAAACTTATGCAGAAAATAATATTCTACCAAAGCCGAGAAGCCTTGGCAAGGGAGGGGATCAGAGGTGGTCAAGGTCATTTTAAGATACATATGACCAAAAAAAGCCCGCTTTTTTAAAAATCCAAACATTAAGGCAAGGGACTTTATGCATAAACACAACCCATAAAAAATAATAATTCTAAAATGTAGTTGCTATATAGCATTTTGTGATTTGCTGTTTGTAGAAAGCTAAAAATTATGTGGAAGTACCAGTTCATTCAAGTCATAAATGGTGAAAGTCTCAACATATGCTGATTAGATTGCAAGCAGACTGTTAAAATATTAGAACACCAATACAATCTGTGAATTTAGCTCATTCCTGTCACCCGATGTGGGTGGCCAAAGATTTCATAGAATCACTCAATTCCCAGCCCTCAATTTCATATCAAGTAAAAATTCATCAAAATTATGAATATTTTACAGTGCAATTTTATTATGTTATTAAAATAATTTCCTCTATACTATTATTCTGTTGGGAAAAGTATATTTATATTTTCATTACTGTGTTTTCATTTATAATTCAGCAATCATGATTTGTATGAGGTCTATCAATTTAAGAATTTTCTAATTCTTTTTTTAATGGCACAACTATCATATTATTTTTTTATTTCTAGTAGATTTTTGAAATTATATTTAGCTCTTAAATTCATCTGGAACAATCTCAGCGTGGTTTGAAAAGACTCTTGGGGGTTCAACTTGAGCTGAATAATCTAGAAAAAGTTCAAAATGCTAAAAACATGTACTAATAAATCATGTGAAATGGGAATGAAAATGAGTGAAGATTTTGATTTTCCCTATGGGAAATAACCTTAATTTTATGAGAAATTATACTGCTGGTGGTGCTTCAGGTAACAATTTTAACAGAAATTTTAAAAAAGGGCTCTATAAGAAATGGGAAGTTGAACTACAACCAGTAAGCTGGTCAGCTCAGTTTGAACTCAGTAATCAGCTAAGTCTTTGTTTAAAACTGCTTATGAATAAGTTATTTTATTCACGTCAGTGAAAAATCAGAGCCTCAGAGTCTTTTTGGAAGCTGTAGAGCATTTGACATGACCTTTTCCTAGTGGTGAATTATCAGATGGCATTAACTGCAAATTTTTCTTTTTCCAATGAGAATTATTTTCCATGAAAGGAGCAGGATTTAATGCCAAGTCAAGAGGGGCTTTTCTTTTTATTTTGTGCTTTTATATGTAATCTTTAATGTTTTCATTATTTGCAGAGATTGGGATGATTTATTTTATGAAATTTGTATTTATTATTGACATATGAATATAGATAATATTCATATATTGTCTTTAACATATCTCCATGTATACTTTAGGCGAGGGTCTGCAAACATTTTCTGAAAAGGGCCAGATAGTAAGCATTTTAGTCTTTGTAGGCAGGTGGTCTCTGCAGCAACTACTCAACTCTGATGTTATACTACAAACACAGCTCTAAACAATATATAAACTAATGGTCAGGTTGTGTTCCAATAAAACTTTATTTATACAGAAAATTCAGTGGGCAGAATTGAGCCATAGTTTGCTGACCTCTGGTTGAAGGGAGAATCTTTGTGTGGAGGCAGGTGGATAAGAGGTTCAAGGACTTAAGAAATAACCTCTTATTCTTTATAATTCATTAGATTCCAATGACTCCAAAAATAGATATGCAGCCAAATGAAGAACTATAATATAGAAGCTCACATTTCCTTTCATTGGCCGCTTTTATACTAGGTCATATTTTGTTGACTGAATTCAACTCTTCAACAAATATTTACTGAGCTTCAACGCTGTGACACTGTACCGCCAACAAGTGTGATACACAGTATAACAAGCCCAGTTCCTGATGCCTACATTGGGAGAGGAGATACTCCAGGTTTTGCTCTCAAAGAATAGGCACTCAGATAGTTCCCCCCCCCCCCAACATGTTGCCCACCATTTGCAATGCTACTCTGTAACTCAGTCCAGGGGAAGGAGGGCATTAATTTTTAACTTCCTTATATTCTCGATCCATCACTCCCCCTCACCCCCACCCCCAGGACTTCAGAAATCATGTTTCTTTTGACTTACTTTATTTTTACTTAAGAAATGAATTCAGAATACTTGTGTACTCTGTCATACTTCTTTATTTTGAGGTTGTGGGAGTGCTGGGTTTCAATTACTGTATCATACTGCAGTAACAATCTGAGCAGCTATTTTATTTTCCCTGGGGAGACAGCTGATATGTATCTCTCTCTCTCTCTCTCTATTTATATATATCTATATATATAGAGAGAGATGGATAGATTTTAAATCCACTCCTTAAAATTCATGCTTTTCTTCCAGCCTACCACTGTGACTCAGCTCAAAAAGAGTAGTTCTGTAGATTTTTAAAAAAAATTTAAATGTTACTTTTAACATTAGTATTTCTAACAAATTTAAAACAATATTTCTAATGAAAGTTACTAGCAACATTTAACAGCTGGTCAAATTATTAGAATTATTGAAGAGCTGAGATTTGAGTTCACAACCTGGAGATAATGAAAGGCTTATCTCATCCAAAGAAGAAAATAAATTATTTTTAAAAATCTGAATATGAGCACAATGAAGATTTTATAGACTGTGTATCTATAAAACTAGAATTCATAATAATTCAGAAACTAGTTGAATTCTGAACTCATTGGCAGATTAGTAATTAACATTTCAAACAATAGGATGTACTTTACTTGAATTTGTTCTGATGAGTAATTTTGGGGACTTTTAAACAATGATGATTATTGATAGCTTAGACCAAATAGGTGTGCATCTTCCTAGGAAAATCTTTGTACTATGTTCAGACTGAGACTTTCTGTGTTAACTTTACTTTTTGTTTTATTCAATACCCAATATAGTAGAAATAAAACCCATTTCTACTCTGCTACAGAATTAAATGCTATGTGGGCTTATGTGACCAGATATTGGCTGATTATATCATGATAAAATAATAAAAAGATTTTTATTTTCACAGTGGGTGTTCATGTTATACAAAGTGACATTTCTCTAATTTTCTATAGCATAAATAAAGATAATGATAGCATGTAAAAAAATTAAATAAATAAACAAATAAATAAATAAATAAATTATACACTATGGCCCACTAAAACTGTCATCAAAATAACACAATGAAGTTACCAGACTACAACATTCATAGAATACTTATGTAATAACTTTTATATATGGTAGCTCATAGACAGTGGCCAATTAAATAAACTGGGGACATAGCTCAATAGTTGTACTGTTAAAATTGGCTTTGGTGTAGGAATGAAATGACAGTTACAATTTTGGGGGGTGGGTACGTAACAGTTTTATTGAGACACATAGCATACCATACAATTCACCCATTTCTTTCTTTCTTTCTTTTTCTTTCATTCATTCATTCATTCATTCATTCATTTATTGTGGCTGGCAGGTGCAGGTATCCAAACTGACAGTACATTTTTGATGTACCAGTGTCTAATGCCTCATAACATGACTTGAGCCCAGCAATGAGCAGAAAAATGAAAGTAAATTCATATTGATCATAAATTTGGTTCTAGCATCAAAGTTGGAGTGAAACGTTCATATGTTCTAAATCTTAGGTTGCAGCTTCTCATATAGTCTGGTATAAGCGAGAGTAAAAATACACTGGCAAGAAAAGCTCTCTGGGAGATCTCATACTGGCTGCTGTGTCCTTTCCCAGGATCTGTCACTGCGAAGGGGATGAAGAGAGCCCCCTCATCACACCCTGTCGCTGCACAGGGACCCTGCGCTTTGTCCACCAGTCCTGCCTCCACCAGTGGATCAAAAGCTCTGACACACGCTGCTGTGAGCTCTGCAAGTATGATTTCATAATGGAGACCAAGCTCAAACCCCTCCGGAAGGTACAGTATCCACACGAACTGGTTTGGGAGAGAGAACTTGCAAAGTAGGCTAGTTTTAAAACCCCCCTTTCTTCCCCAATAAGATTCTGCTAACATGCTAATATTCACAAAGAGTGCATGTCCTGTGTTGGGCTCAATGTGCAAAATGAAGCCAAGTTATGCAGATAATCTTTCCTTTCTTTGATTTATATTCTAGGACCTTTGATTTATATATCACTTTTCACAATTAAAATGCGTGTTTATGTGCATAAGTACATACATAGAAACACATATATGTACATATGTGCAAACTATACTTGTAATTCAATGTATTTGATGAGAACTGTGGGAACTTTGAGTAAGTACCCAAGAAGATTAGATGATAGATTGCATTAAAATGACATAAACTCATCAAACTTCTTGAAAGTCAAGCATTGGGTAATAGAAGAGAAAGATTTCTTCTATAAGTTGTGGACTATTTTTTGTTTGTTTTAATTTGGGGATTGGTTTGACGGTTCATTATAATTAGAGTAGGTGGAAAGAAAAAGTATTATTTTCCATTTTGTGTATTAAGCTGTAAGAGAGAGGAGGTAAGTACATTTTTGTCTATAAGGTTTATCTTCAAATTCCTCATTTATGTTATAGTTCTCTAAAGAATTCAGACAAGACTGTGAGTCAAATGTAAAGTTAGCATCTCACTCAAAGATATAAAAAGACAACTTGTAAAGGATGCAAACAAAGACAATGAACTTTATATAATTCATGCTTGATAGCTGGGCCCCTGAATTTTAGCATGTGAAATTCATTTTTTTGCCTGCCTGCAGCCTTACATATAAGGATGCCTCAATTTCTAAAGGAGAGTATGGAGACCTCAATTTAAATACTGAATTAGCCTGAAGCTGCTTTTTCATTTAAATTAAACATAAAGCAAAAGTGGATAGAAAGAACATTGCTTTGAAATAAACATGATAGCTTCCAGAATAAGCAGAGATAAACAAAAATTTTAAAAAAAAAGCAGATAAGAGTATTCTAGTAGGCATCTGACCAATGGCTAGCCATGGCAATTCTTCATGAATTCTGTAAATTACAGAGGAGAGTAACATTTCCTGCTTTCGTGCGCCTTGATTTAAAAAATCTGCAAATGGTTTATACATGTCAAAAATGATGCACAAAGTGCCTTTTAATATATGGGGTGACCTGTGTAGCAAAAGGTGACACTCTGTTTCTCTAGGTCCCTGAGCAATCAGTGCCTAAAATAGAAATGGACCTTTATTCCTTGCCCTTTACTTTATCCACTGAACAGATGCTGTATACTGTCTGGAGTAGCTAAATGACACATTGTGCTCCATGAGTCTCTAAATTTCTTTTCTTACCCTTAGGGAACTACAAATTGTTTCATTGCATCTGTATAGTTCTCTCTGTTTTGTTTTGTTTTTTTCCCCCACCCTCCTTCCATATAAAATTTTCAGTTCAGCTTTGTCAAACATGATATTTCAATTTGAGAGAGACAATTTTAAATAACATATTTAAATTTTTTGGTTTTTACTATATCTACCATCACCACCACCACTCCAATTTTTTGTATAATAAATAAAACATGATGCTAAGACGGAACTTGAAAAGTCATCTTTTTCTACCTTCAGCTTTTGTAGAATCACTCCTTAAATACAGCTTTGATCCTTTATTGATATTCCATTCCCAGTAATTTACAACCTTATCAGGAAATCCTGTTTTTCTCAACCAACCTGTTAAAAAAACAGAGAAAGCCAGCAAACATGTCTATCTTCTTCAATATTCATGATAATGTGTTGCTGCAACCTAGTGGGTACCTACTATCTGTTGATTAATGAAATCTCCTGGTTTCTTTAAAAAAAAAACATTTTTTGATTGAGCATAAATATTGATAAAAGTATTCCTCATATTTAATAGCATATATTATGTATATATATGTACAGGGGGTGTTAGAATCTAATCCAGAGGTTGCTTCTTGACAGTCCACAGATGGGTTTTATTTGACCTACAGGGCTTAAAATTTGAATTTTAGTTACCAGCGTTTAAATATGTGATTATTTTATGTGTAATTCCATACATCTGAATTAGTTTGAAAATCATGGAATCTGGCTTCACTGGTACCACATTCCCATATGACAACAACCAGTGGAGCTAAGTGGTGTCTGGCCTCTTTCAAAGGCTGTTTGCTTTCAAGTTCTCCACTTTTCTCAGTTCTCACTTCCTTCTGATCCAGAGATCTCCTACCATCTCCTTTCATTGGAGTACCTCTGACCTTGGTGTAGGGACCTGAATTTTCAACTCCTGGTTTAACACATGAATTCTAGACATGAGAAACATGCATTCTATTCTTTTCTCCATGATTTATAGGTTTTGAAAACCTAGGGAAAGTATTCCAAAGTTTCACTTTCTGCTTTAAATATATGGGGCACTGGGTTAACACGTAAGAGGCAGTATGACTTTTCAGATTCTGAGGTGATATGAACTATACAGATATGAAGCATTTCTACACTGTTCCAGATGGTGTATTTTTATGGCACTAAGATTCATTAACAGTTTTCTTTCAGCAGTTTTTAAAAGGTCATTAAGAAAGCCAGGTAGAGCATTTGGTTAGAACACATTTGAACTACATACAATTAGTTGCTCTCAACTCAGTCATTTCGTTACAGTTTGTAACATTTTAAAGACCAGTCACATAAACAGTTAATTTAGCTAATGACTCTGAATTTCTGCCATTAGCCAATGTAGGCAGGAGATTTTGTTTAGATGATATGGCTTCAAGTAGAAAGGTGCAAATCTTCATAATCTAAATAGACTTTGTGCTTAATAGTTAGTTCTCCAAAGATATCAGTAAGATGTCACTTCATTAATTCTTACTACCACTACACCAAAGTCCATACTTAGTAAATTCATCAAGATATCCTAATGTTTTCAGAGGTAAATCTTTAAAGTCAAAGTAAAATCAAGGGCTTCTTCAAGAAAAAGCAATTTTCATCATTTTTAAGTCAGTAGCTCAGCTACTTTTGTAACACTCAGTAAAAACCCCGTTACTCTACTGAGTTACCCAGGATCAGAAATAATTCTCAGGGTCCAGAAAAGTCAAAGAGTCACAAATAAAGAAAGCATAGTGACTACTCATTGCAATTTGGAAATCACACAGTATCAATTAGGAAACATAGACTAATCTACTATTCTGAAGCAGAAGGATCGTATGGGGTTCAGATTTAGATCACTCCCGAATGGAAGACACCAGCTGTTGGATAGAAAGCCAAGTTTATGAGGACAGCAAATACTACTGACAACTTTATGTCCTCACCTAAAATATTTACATAATTTTCCATGTAGAAATTATTTTACAAATATATAATATAAAGTATTTGACTCCATGCATCCTTTTATTTCTTTTGTACAAATGACATGCAGTAAACAAATTACCTTTGCTTTAGTAACAATTAGGATGAACTATATACATTTGTCGTTTTTCTAGATCAAAAACAGTCGAATATTAGAAAGTGCATATAATATAAGGAAGCTCTGTGTGAATTTATTATGCAGAATAAAAATGAACAATTTTGGTATTTCTACATTTTCACCATAATGACTTACAATGCTTTAGTTTAAATACATATTTTTTTAAATGAATAACTATATTTGAATAACGCTTTCTTAATTTCACCCTTTTCTTACTCAAATTAAGAAAAGGAAGAAGGCCAAAGGCCAGCACAAGTTCCCATAACAAGCCAACTGCCCTAAGTTTATTACCAATTCTCTGCTGATCTGGAGGTCTTGCCTTAAAATCGAACAGGGCAGAAGTTTAGGTCAGATTTTTAGCTCGGATCTTCTTGCACCCTATTGAATAATGTTGCCTAACTACACATAAAAGAAATTTTAAGTGCATCATTTATTTACCATTATGGGGACTTTGCTATTTCACGAACCTACTGAATTTCTGCTATGTGCCAGATATTTAGAATATATCACTTAATTAATTCAATCCTCATTACGATCCCATTTTATGAAGGTCTATCAAGCCAAGTTTAAAGATGAGGAACATGAGACGCTATGTCAGACTTAGTCAATATCGCACACCACAGAGTTTCCTGTTTCTAAAGCTTGTGCTCTTTGTGCTGTTCCCCGCTGCACTAAATGGCTGTGGGAGGCTTTCTCATTAAATATCAAAACATTAGTTGTTACTTAAACTATTTCTGATGGAAATCGTTCCAAATAAATCTTCCTAAAATAAAAATTTTTCTAAAATCTTCCATCTTAAACATGGATATTTTGCCCAATATTGTTTTCTGATAACTCGGTTCCCTCATTCTAGGCACATCAATTATTTTGCATGCTAAACAATATTAAGAAATTCAATAGCTTGAAACGCAAATAAGATTGTTTATCTTCATCCTACTTTCTCTAGCCTGCTGTGCTTTAAAAGCCTTTCTATCTGTTTCTTGTTGTTTCTCTTCTCTTCTCTCAGTGCATCAGCCATCACTTCTCTGTTCCTATAGTCCTTATTCAACATTTTACATAGCTACTCCTTTTCTGCTTTAAACAACAACAACAACAACAACAAAATGAAGAATTATAGAGTTGGGTCTACAAAAGGCTGAAGTCAGTCCTCAATAAGCTTCTGCAAGATTCTTTTTTGATCACTGGCAAGAGTTTTGGTGAGCATGGACATTCTGACATTATTCTCGGTTTCTTGGAATTCTCTTTGGAAGCCTTCTTAATTCTCAGGTTTACTCAAGGTACTGGGATCCCATGATAAGAAAGCCCTCGGTGAATGAAGCTCTGATGAAGTTCAGATGAAGTTCAGGATGTTCCCCTGTCAGCATTCTGGGAAGTAGGTTTCTCTGTTCCATTTGTCCACAAATATATAAGCCTACAGGCAATGAAAATCTTCGCCCTAATGTAGTCCAGGCAAAAACTTTCTTGCAAAGAAGATCCATAATCCTAATTCACAATGCCTATGCATTCTCATATTTTCTTCACACTCAGTTTCACTTCTATTG